GCCCCGCGGCCCCCGTGACCCCCGCAACCACGGGGGGTGGCCCGGCACCCCGGGGGCGGGATCAGACCTGCCCGGGGTTTGGGTGGGGCGCGGCCCTCGAGAAGCGGGCGCGCGTCCTGGGCGCCCGAAAGGGAACAGAGGACCCTCCAGTGGGGCCCCCACCTAGAGAAACCAGCGGCGTGGGGCGGGGCCCCTTGGAGACCCCAGACCACCCTTAAAACTTAGCTCCTGGACCCCGGCGTGTCGCAGGCAGGGACGCTGCGTGTTAGTGAGGGTCTTCTTAGGACCCGCCAGGGCAGGGAGCCTGGACCCATTTTGCAGATGTGGAAGGGGTGTTCAGAGGAGCGAGGAGTCATGCCCACAGCAACGCAATACTCCTCACGAGGATCTGGCCGCTGGGCTGGCCAGAGTAAAGGGTATTTCCCCACCCCGGGGAGTAGCCCGTGCGTGCGCCCCTGGCAGGGCACACAGTTCTGACAATTGGCGACGCTTCCACTGACAGACCTGAAGGTTTGAATCATCTGGTGAGGTGATGGGGAGATGAGAGGACTTGCTTCCGCGGTTGGCATAGAGTGTACACCTTGCCAGCCAGAGGAAAGAACACGCTCCTGGTTTTGCACTCCAGCGCTGGCCTCTCTTCTGCCCTGGCAGACCTCCCCCGGCCAGATCAGGGACTCCCACCTACGAGTATCTGCTCCCTAGGAGACCCTTCACAGTCACCCACGTTTCCCCCCGGAGCCCCATGTCAAAGGGGCCAGCCAAGGGTCAGAGGGAGGACCTTACCTGAGGGCACACAGCTATTTTAGAGGCCCTTGGGATTTGCATGGGGACCCGACTGGCCCAGGGCTCATCTCTCTTTCTCCACTTAATTATCTATGAAATCTGGGAACCCCAAAAGGACAGGTCTCACCGAGGCCCATGCCTACCGCATGCTAGGTGCTGGGAGACCTCCAGTGCTCGGGGCTGGGGCTGGTGTGTGTTTAGAGGACTGCCTGTAATAGACATCTCTCTGTGCGTAGGCGTGGAAGGATGCCGGGCTCCCGCTCTCAGCCTCGAGCAACGAGGCCTGCAGGATGTTTGATGCCACCCTGACCCAGGTATACCCGCAGAGGAGTGGTGGCCCTTCTGTAACGGGCTATGGGGAGGTTTCTTACCTTGGTGAATGCTTTTTTTTTTTTTGGAAATAAATATTTTTTAGTGCATCTTACAGCTGCATGTATTCGTGCCACGAGGAAGTGGTACTTGCATGAGTCAGGCTCCCATTTACCATAGCTGGCTTAGGTTTGCAGCCAAACTACCTGTCATCTGATGTGCTCTCCCAGTAAAGCTGGTCGGTGATGACGTGAGCAGGCGCAGGACTTGAAGCTTTCAAAATTTTACAACTTTATCCTGATTTTATAAACAGTGTAGTTCATTATCCTCATTCCTACCCAAGTCTCCTGGTAAACTTGTGTGCAGCAGGGCTTCGTGGGGACCCAAAAGTCTTCTTAAGGCTTGGAAGCATCCTCGGGCAGGACCAAGGGCTCAGGCTGCACCAAAGCCCCACGGTCAGGGGCTCAGAAGGTGGTGGGTGCTTTTTAAATTGCATGGAGGCTTTGGCAATCGACCACAGTAGAATCCGTGTACTTCGTACCCCTAGGGAGTGGAAATGTCTCTGCCTGCCCGCGGCATGGCTGAGAGGTCTCCTAAGTGGCAGACAGTGGGGATGCTCTGGAGGGTGCTGAGCCCTCCACAGGCGCCCCGCTGTGGCCTGCTGAGAGTTTGATGGGGGCCCCTCTCCTGAGGCTAATCAGTGGACGTACTGCTCTCACCTACGGCTGTTCTAAGACCTTCCACCACATTGCCAGTCGTTTCCAACACCAGGGAAGGAGCCTACAGTTTTAGAACTAGGAGGAGCTCAGAAGTAAGGCCCAACTACTTTGCTTGCCAGGTGAGGAAACTGGGGCCCAGAGCGCCGAGCTGACTCCTGCAGGGAGTCAGAGGAGCAGGGTTCACCTGGCTCTGCAAACGCCAGGGAAAAACTAGAGCTAAGCTTTTGCATGAGCAGTGAAACCGCTACCTCCTGACTCCATCCACACAGCATAAGGACCAAGGAAGCTTCTAGAAACAAGGGCCATACAACTAACAACTGGTGAAATGCTGTCAGCTTGCCCAGGGACGCCACGGTGTGCATCGCTCTGTGTCTGTATGTGCCCTTCCTGCACCATTAGGCCTCTGCAGAGCGTGATTTGTTACAGGGACAGTTCCCAGTGCAGAGGCAGCCCCCCCGCCCCCTGCCCCGCCTGTGTGTGTTCTGTGCCAACCCCCCTGCGTCTCATTAAAATACATGTGCTGTATTTGTGTAGATGTAGGTTGGACATCTGGAAGAGCACGTTCTGAAATCAAATGCATTATTATGGTTTTAGGATTTTAAAAAATTAGGCACTGAAAAAAAGGGCTAGAAACAAATACACCACAGTGTCAAAAATGATACTGAGGTGAGATTCAAGGTGAGTTTGATCCAGCTTTCGTGCCTCTTCCTAACTTTCTATATTGAATGTTGACTTCTTTTTAGTATTTAAAATTTTTTTTAATTTTCTTTTTAATTATTTTTTTTCTATGGTTCTTTTTTAAAGGAATGAATAGGAAGCTAGAGGGTTCCGGTTGTGGTACCTGAAGTCACGGCTGACGCTGTGGGCAGGTCACCTGTCAGGAAGAAACTTCCTTTAGATGTTTCTTTTTGGGAAATGGCGGCCTCACCAGCCCTAGAAAATGTGCCTTGAGTTACGTGTATTCAGTTTCTTCATGTGAGATCAACCCAGTTATGTTTTCTTTGAGCTAAGGTTCAGAAAATACTCAGTGTTCTAGAAAAAAAAAATCAATGTTTAGATACATGCCTTCATTAACACGAACTAAAAACTCCCTGAGGACAGCTTTGTTTCACCCTTGTATTTCAGTATGTAAAATGGACCAACGACCAGAGTCTTGGCGGCATTGAGGGCTGCCTGTCAAAGCTCAAAGCAGCAGATCCGACCTTCGGTGAGTGATGCTTTCCCTCAGCTGAGCAGCCCCGTTTCACGAGCCCAGTCCCTCACTGGTCCCCTGACTGCAGGACTCAGCTGGGTGGGGGAGGGCAGGCCTGGTGGCAGTGACCATGCTGGCATTTGCATGGAGAGGAGGGGGAGGGAAGATGATAGCCACTGCTGTGCTTAGAATAACAGCCGCTCCCATAAAGATGCCAGGTTCTATAGAAGGCGTCTTTTAAATGTTTTCTTTAATCGTACGTCAGTTCTGCAGGGAAGACACAGCCCATTTTTCAGATGAGGAAAATGAGGTTCAGAGACAGTAAGACATATACTTAAAGCCATTCAGCTGGTGGTTGGGGGCCTGGGATCAGACAAAACTGTCTGAACCCAAAGCCTGGACCCCTCCCAGAACACGAGAGGTGGCCACTGCCACTTCTTGGGGCTCTAGTGAGGCCTTCCTGAGAGCGGCTGGGATGGGGAGACCAACCCAGTGACAGAGGCTGGCACTGCAGGCAAGCCATGTGCTTGGAGGGCAGGAGGGAGTCAGCCCAGTGCATTCTGGAACCCCAGGAAGGTTACCCCAGTGTCAGGTGAGGTTCTGGGCTGCAGAGAAGAGCTGAGGAGGGGAGGGTAGCCAGGTCCCACTGAGGGCCAGGGACACAGAATACAGGAAGAAGGAAGCCATAGGGGGAGCCAATAGCCAGGAGTGGGCTCAGGCCCTCTGAGCAGACCTCGGGCCCCAGGTCAGAAGCAGGGGCCACATGGGTGGTCCCAGCGCTATGGTTGGGTCCTCGGTCCCAGCCCTCGGCCGGGGAGTGAGTTCCAAATGCCAGCAGACACCCTTCTTCTGTCAAGGTGGGGGTTGGGAAGCCCAGGTAGGATCAGGGACTTGGACACCTGCCAGCAAGGATGCTACAAGGGCCACAAGGCACACCCCATCTCCACCAACTCCAAGCCCTCAGCACACAAGAGCAGCCAAGACAGGATCCTGGCTTCTGTGCCCCGGGGACCTGGCCCCTGACAGCATCTACTGGGTGGCCCCTGGGAGGCCTTGTGCTGGTCGTAGTGACAACATCATCTGATAAGGGAAGCGAGGGGGGGCTGCACAGGAGCCTGGAGGCAGCCTGGAACCAGCGGGTGCTCCGGAGGTTGGCACGCCCCAGAATGCCCTGGGTAGGAGAATATTTGAGGAGGGGCCAGATGTTTTAGGGTTGCCACTCCTCCACGTGCATGGTGAAGGCCTGGGCTGAGTTCAGGGCTCTTGGTGGGGACACCACATACAGCCTGCCTGCCTCCTGGCTTGCCCCTCCTGGGATGTGGGCTGTTTATTTCACATATGGGGCGGGGCTGGACTGGGCTGGACCAGGTCGTCTGAATCACCCTGGCTGTTTTCCCCTCTTTTGCCAGCAATGGGCCATGCCATCGCTAATGGCCTCGTGCTGATTGGCACCGGAAGATCTGTGAGGCTGGACAAAGAGCTGGACCTGGCTGTGAAGACCATGGTGGAGATTTCCAAAACGCAGCCACTGACGCAGCGGGAGCGGCTGCACGTGTCTGCAGTAGAGACCTTTGCCAAGGGGTGAGGGGCCTCCCTGGGCCATACTGGGCGATGCCACAGGGCTGGCTGCCCCGGTACCATGGGGCCCTGGGGTGATTCTCACCCTGCCTCCCGGGCCCGTCTGATTGAAGATCGCATCCTCCCTGCTGCTCCAGCCCCAGTTGACTGCTGAACGAGGATGTAGTTGGCTCGGATTCCCAGTTTAGCATTCAAAGCAATTTATTTTGTTTTGTTAAATAAACTGGTTATTATTTTCATTCCAAAAATAATAGGACCATGATACAGAAATATATGAGACAGAAGAGGGAAGGAAGCCCTCGCCCTTTGCTCCTGTCCTAACACACCCTGTGACCATCCGCCATGGTCTTCCAGGTGTGTCCCCTGCTTCTGTTGTTCCCACCACTGTCCCCTTGTGTGGGTGCATCCTGACTCTGAAGCCTGCCTCCAGGACCACCCTGTGTCTGCTTGGCCAGGGGAGATGCCCTGCAGAGCTAGGCGACCTGAGCTAATGGTACAGTGACAGAGGGTTCTGTCCCGGTCCTCCCGGTCAGTCAGTGCAGACGTCAGCGCGGGGGTGGAATGCCACCTTGGAGACTTCCTGCAGCTGGTTCATGGTCTCAGGTGAAATTGTCTTTGGCAGCTTATTGAACCAGTTTTTTGTATTTGTTTTTGTTTTTCGCTTGAATTAGAGAGTAACACTTCTCACTGGCTTTTCAATTTTCTGAGCCACAACCTAACATAGAATCTTATATGTGTATTTTAACCAATTCAATGCAGGCTGTGACACAGATAGGAAATGAACCCTTTTACACTCCCCGGGTGTGGACTGTGTTCAGTGTTGCTGAGAAACCTTTCTTGGCTTCCAGAAACTTTCCGAGAGCCTGTGAACTGTGGGAAGAGATTCTCCGGGATCACCCAACGGACATGTTGGCCCTGAAATTCTCCCACGATGCCTATTTTTACCTGGGCTACCAGGAACAGATGCGAGATTCTGTGGCTCGAGTTTATCCCTTCTGGACACCTGACATCCCCCTGAGCAGGTAGGAGCCAGTTAGAAATCACATCATTGCGCTATTTCTTAGTCTCTCTCCTCTGCCCTAAAAATGTGGCTACTCTCCTGGCCCTGCCCTAAAACTAGTGAGACTACCATTGCTATTTTCCTAGGTCTTTAAACTAAACAGGCTTCACGTCTTCATTTGATCTTCATCCCATCCTGTGAACTAGGTAGTACCATTGTGTATCAGTCAGCATAGGCTAGTTTTTGCCACAGTAACAAACATCCTTTAGCTCTTTTTCTCCAAAGCTTGCTTCAGCAAAGGTTAATTTCTCACACATAATACATGCCCATCATAGGAGGCTGCACTTATGCCATTGTCTCCCTCCAGGATCCCGGCGGATGAAGCAGCTGCTCTCTGGACACAACACACCAGCTGCTGAGAGGGAAAAAAAGAGCTCTGCTGAGGGACTCACGATGGCATTAGTGCTCAGAGTGAAGGGGGTACCCCTCAGCTCCCCAGTCATTGGCCAGAGCCAGTCACCCACCCACAGGAGGCCAGGAAGTGCAGCTCTGCTGTGTGCTGGGAGGAGAGAGGGCCTGGAATATCTATGAACAGCCCTAGGGTCCACCACACCTGGTCACCTCCACTGCCTCTTAATCACAGGGTTGTTGTGAAGGTCAAATGGATTAACAGATGTAAGAGCTGCATTAGTCAGGGTTCTCCAGAGAAACAGAACCAGTGGGATATGTAGACCTGTGTCTGTATCCATGCTATTTGCATATATGTGGGGGAAGGGGGGAGGGAGGCGGGAGGAAGGAGACATTTATTTTAAGGAATGGGCTCATGTGATTGTGGGGACTGGCGAATCTGAAATCACAGCCTCTGCCTATGTTCACTTAGCTGTCTGTCCTGTGTGTGTGTGTGTGTGTCTGTGTGTCTGTGTGTCTGTGTGTCTGTGTGTCTGTGTCTGTGTCTCTGTTTCTCTGTATCCAAACCTCCCTCTCCTTTCTCTCATAAGGACACCAGCCATTGGCTGTGCGGCCCACCAGGATCCAGGGTGACCTCATCTTAACTTGAGGATCTTGATGACCATCTGCAGACTCTAATTCTAAGTTAGGGCACATGTTCAAATGTACCATTTTCGGGGACACAATTCAGCCTACCCAGGTCATGTTAAGGATTGAACAGTTCCAGTCTACTTTTTTTTTTAAAGAATTTTTTTCCTCTGTTTTCAGCTATGTGAAGGGCATCTATTCTTTCGGATTGATGGAAACCAACTTCTATGATCGGGCGGAAAAGCTTGCCAAAGAGGTCAGTGGGCCCTTACAGAGGTGCCCGACTCCTTGGAGAGTGGCGTCAGGTGACCCCAGGGCGGCCCCCCGCCTTGGCCTCGTTTCCTACCGGGAGGCCTCGTGTTGACAGAGCAGCTGCCTCCTGCCACCTGAGCCATGTGGCCCTGCAGGCGGCCTGCACAGGCGAGGGAGGTGAATGAGGTCCAGGGAGGCTCCGACTTCCTCTTTCTCACTCAGTGCCACACGGCGCCCCCAGCTCTGTCTCCAGGGCCCACAGTTTGCGCTGCTGGAACCAGACTTTGTAGGTGGGGAAGCGTGTATCAGCGTTGGTTCTCCCACCTGGAACCTCACATTTCTAAGTGTTACTGACTTCCCGAGACCCCGGGAGCTGAGTGATGGGTGATGAGTGAGGCTGCTTCTGGGTGGGCCCTGACCTGGTGTTGGGGTCCTGCCGGCCAGCCCGTCTCTTGACCACCGAGCCGACCCGGAGGGGCAGAGTAGGGTGGGTTTGCTAAGCACCTCCCGAGGGCCCAGACCCCTCCCTCCGTGCTGGTGAGATGAGCTGGCTGGTACCCTGTCTGCACTAAGGCCGTCCCTCACTTGCAGGCCTGGGCGCCACGGTATCTCTGGTTCTCAAGGTCCCTCTCCTCCAGCTCCTCGTCTCGCAGGAGTAGAACCTGGGTCCCAGGGAGGGGCCACCATGCACATAGGAGTGGGTAAGGATAGCCGCTCCTGTGCCTGGCTCAGGGCTGGCACTCAGTATACACACCACTCCCATCTGCTCAGCCCCTGCCACGAGGCAGTGAACTCCTCATTGCCCAGAGGAGGACGCCAAGGCTCCGAGAGGCCAAGGTCCATGGCCACGCAGTTGAAACGCTGAGTCATGCTCACACAGGCCTCCTGACCCGAGCACAGTCCACGCTGCCTGGACCAGACTCCTCCCCAGCACCCAGCCAGCGCTCTTTCCTGAGACGTTTCCATAGCTGGCTCCCAGCACCCCTCTCTAAGAAACAGCCAACGCCCTTTGGGGGTCCCCAGGGCCTGTGGGGTCTCTGAAGACAACTCCACTTACAGAAATGTGGGGCATGGGGGGCCTCATGGCAGTCTCGGCTCCAGGGCCTGGTGACTGGGCCCCACCGTCTGGGTGGTCGGCTGCAGGAAGGGCCCCTGGAGACCATGGCAGCTGGGCCCTCGTGTCGAGTGGCATCTATCTGGGCACCCAGGAGCTGGCAGGAAGTTTCGGGAAACTAGAAGGTGGCCGAATGGTGCAGGCAGGCTCATGCCCTGCCAGGAGCAGAGAGCAGTGGGGTGGGGATAGGGTACCCCTCTGCTCCCTTCACGCCCTCCTTCTATACCCACTCCTGCAGGCGCCCACACTCAGACCCCAGCACCAGCACACCAGGCTATTACTGGGCCAGGCCAGGCTGCTAGGAGAGTGAGGGTGGCTGCACCCGGCTCTAGAGAGGCCTCGCGGTGGTGACACGTGGGCCGCATCTGCAGGCCGAACCCCTGGACAGGAAGGCAGTGGTGCTGGGCCGTCTGGACCCCTCAAGCCCTGTCGGGGAAACAGCTGCAGGCAGGGCCTCGGAGCTCAGGGCCAGGGAGCGCCTGACTGGCCGACGCTGAGGTCGCAGGTGGGAGGGGCAGGCTCTAGGGACGACGGCTGGGGGGCTGGCAGGTTCCTGTACTCTGTCCCAGGGAACCTAGGAAGCTGGCCAGGAGCCCCTCGGAGGCAGGGAGCGGCTTAATCTCAGCAGTGGGCGAGATCAGCCCTGCCACCCTGAACCTCTGTCCTGTGCAGCATGCTAAGCGGGTCCCCACCACCAGGGCCTGCTTAGTTGCGCCCCTATGGCCTCACGAAGTGTCCTGGTCCTGTAGGGCTCTGCCCCAGGCTGCCCATCGTCCCTGCAGATGTGCTGTGCTGTTCTCAGCATCCCATTCGTGCACTGGGTGGGCCCAGGCAAGCAGGGGCTGGAGCAGGGAGGCAGGACTTGCTGGGGACAGTCTATCAGCACAGACCTCGCAGCAGGTGCCTTCCCAATTCTGCTCCTATGAAAGGCATGGGGGACTGAGGCAACAGGGCTGGGGGAAGCCGAGATCTGGGGTGGGGGACCTGGGTTCTTGTGGATGGTCCACAGGACCACGGCGAGCCCCTGCTTACTGCTCTGTGCGGGGATTCAGTAAGCACTCAGTAACCCTGAAGTGAACTACCCACTACAGGGTGGGAGGCAGGCCCCTTGTCCCCTCTACCTTGTTGTCACTGTCAAGGTCACTAGTCACGTGAGCAGCTGTCATTGTTATTAGCCATACTATCAGAACCAGCCTGGAAAGCCACATGGGGTGGTCCTTGCATGTGTGTCAGTGGGAAGGGGCAGCCGAGAGCCCCTGAAACACACACTCAGCATCCACTTTGCCTCCACGGCAGCCCTAGGAGAGAGGTGGCGTTATTTCTCACCATGGGGAAAACTGCATGGCACCTTGCAGGTGACTCAGCTGTATGCAGGAGGCAGTGGGGCCGGCACGTTGGATGAGCCCCTGCTTTGGAAAGACCCCTCTGCCGCCCAGTGTGGCCCCGGGCAAGTCACTTAGCCTCCCTGAGCCTTAGTTTCCTCATCTGTGAAATGGGCGATGTTGGCTGCATCCTGCATTTGGCCACCGAGATGGTCTTTGGGGTCCTTGTTGATTTGAGGCAGAGCCCAGCCTCTGCACTTGCTCGGGCCCCTCGTGCCCCTGCATGACTTGTGGAGACTTGGTCACCTGGCAGCCTGACTCGCCCATGTTATTTGACTTGTGTTCCACCCCCGACCCCAACGTAGGCTCTGTCTATTAACCCGACGGATGCATGGTCAGTGCATACCGTGGCCCATGTTCACGAGATGAGAGCAGAGGTCCAGGACGGGCTGGAGTTCATGCGGCACTCAGAAACCCACTGGAAGGTATGGCCATTCCTGTCCATCCGTCTATCTGGGAAATTCTGTCTGTTCCCCCAGGTTAAGCTGAGCTTGATAGACAAGAGTTACAGGGTGCAGCTTAGTTCTGGGGAAACATGTTCCACTTGGAGGCATTTCTGTCAAACCACAGAGTTCCCTGGGAGCCACATGGCTCCCCAACACCTGCCAGCGTTTTGCAGGTGATTCTAGAATTGGTTGTGGCCTGAGGCATTGGTTATAGGAAGGAATTGGTGAGAAATTTGCCGGGGAAATAGGAGCCTGGCCGGGGTGAGAACCACAGGGGCTCTGAACTGCCTCTTCCACCACCGGCCAGTGGGCTCAGCGGGGCCCCAGAACCAAGGAGCACTCTCCCTCAGGGGCTGGTACAGGGATGACGGCCTGGCGACTGTCTGCGGGGCTGGCCAGGCCCTTCCTTGGGGCCTCACTGCTCCCACTCCCGGCACCCACCTGCACCACTGCAGTGGCCCTGCCTCCTCTGCCTGCGCCTGCTGTCCTTGTGTTAGTCTCTGGCACACAGCCTGGCCACCTGCCCAGGTGTGGTCTGCTGCCCTGCCCTTCTCTGTGCCATGGTGGGCTTCCCAGGGCACCCCAGCTGAGGTGGTCTCTGCCAGGGTCTGGCACCCAGCAGCAGGTTCTAGTGATTGAACAAACCAAGGAGAGACCAAAAACCGGGCGGGGAGCAGGGGGTTGGCGTGGTCAGCTGGGTTCCTCCTGGCAGCTCCCTGGCCTGGGACCTTCCGGAGAGAAATAATTTACAAGACGGCCGATTCCTGGCTTCCGAGGGAGTGGTGTTAGGTCGAGCAGGTGAACAGGTGTGAGGCAACCTTTGACTATAATCTCATTAGATCTTATTAGATCATTGACCTAACTCTAATCTCATCAGATCACACTCAGATCTTTCTAAGGATCCCCAAACACTGGGCACAAAGCTAGGCCCTGGGAGTCGGGGCGCAGTGTGGGGTGGGCCCCCGTCCTAGGCTCCCCCGGCAGGTACTGCTGATTCTTGTGGGAGCATTGACTGTGGGTGGAGGGGGCGCCCATGTGGCCACGTCCTCCCCGAGAGAGGCCAGGGAGGCCTGGCTAGGGCACTGGTAGCCCATTTTCTTCCTGCCTTCAGATTCTGATTTTCCTGGGCCTGGGTGCTTGATGCCTGACTCTACCCTAGGGCAGGAATGTGAACCCTCTGAGCCTCAGTTTCGTTATCTGAAAGCCTGCTGTCATGACAACTGTGAAGCCATTGGCCCCAAATGAGTCCCCATTAGTGTTGGTCTGATTGGGTAAAATGAAGTGGCCCGGGATTGCTGGGTGATCTCCCAGCACGCCCTCATCCCCTGATGCCAGCACATGTCCCTGATAGTGGCTCCTGGCAGCCTCCGGCCTGGCTGGACAGCCCTGGGATGGACGGTGTAGCCTGGGGCTCCCTTTCCTCCTCCTCCTGCACCTGCCCCAGGCATTTGGCTGCTGCCACAGTCCAGGCTCCAGGCACTGCCTCAGGCTGTACCCTGCCCTGGGAACCCCACTGAGAGTCCAGCCCAGACCTCTCTGTCTTCAAAAGACCTGCCTGTCAAGTGGAGTGAGCAGCTTCCCAGTAGCTGGCGACACCAGGACAGGGGCACTCTTGGGGCCATGGAAACCCGGAGTAGGCATCCTACCCAACTGGGCTAGTGGGGGAAGTGGTCAGGGAAGGCTTCCTGGAGGAGGCAACCTATGAGGTGAGTGCTGAAGGATGAGTAGTTGTTTGCTAGGCGTAGGATAGGGAGATGTAGGACCATCTTAAGCAAAGACGCGTGCAGTCACCGGCACAGGCCGGCCAGGGTGGGGACCTGGCAGGTGTTTCCTGCACTCAAAGCTGTGGGGCTCTGTGCTGGCACAAGACAGCAGCTGCTCTTTTTCCCTGCAGGCTGTCAGACTTGTCTCTCATCATCTCCTTCTTTCCCCAGGACTCTGACATGCTTGCTTGTCACAATTACTGGCACTGGGCTTTGTATCTGATTGAAAAGGTAAGCTGCCCGGCTGTCTTACCCTGCAAAGAGGTCCAGAGAAAGAAGATTTCTGCCTTTTGCTACAGTTTGTATCCCTTGGAGCAGTCCTGAGTGTTTGCACATTTAAATGGTGTCCTGATGCAATAGGGCATTAACGTTTTCAAATAGCTTCTCAGGCTTAAATACTTCCAGTATTTTCCACTGTCTGGACTCAGAAATCATGTATATCATGTGCTGTTTGTGGGGACAAGTTAGACTGAGGGCTTCTCTGCTGAGCCCCAACCCCACGGATCATACCTGATGAGCCACGGGACCCTGAACGCCTTTCCCCAGTGGGAGCGAGGGTGTGGGGACACCCTTGACCTCAGTGATTCCACCACTGGGTCTCATTCATAGGGGTGTTTCTTGTGGTGCCATTTATCATAGAGAAAAATCTAGACGCTCCCGACGCGGCCAAATAGAAGTCCCTGGAAGGTGAGGACCCGTAGTGACATGCAGAATGCAATGACACAGTGTCTCCAAATAAGCAGGGAGCCCAACTGAACAGGCAGTAGGGAAAACAGAGGGGAAAATAAAATACACGGAAAAGCCCACAGCCGTTTGACAGGCACTTCGTAGGGACCATAATGCTTTCACAGAAAGTGTTCCCTCCGCAGCAGCACAGTCTGGGGAGTGAAGGGCGGGAGCCGACGTGGGTTCCCCATCCCCTCCTCCCATCCCGAGGCCCGCCGCAGCGAGGCCCAGCCCTTTGTAGCGTGACGTGGGGCGCCGGGCAGGGTGGGGTGGGGGTTGGCGAGGCGTCCTCAGTTTGTTTCTTAGCGGTGCGTTTCACCACCTCCACGTGCTAAGCACGAAACTTCGTTTCCCAGGGCGAATACGAGGCCGCGCTGACCATCTGCGATGACCACGTAAGTCCCCGTGCGCACGCGATGCGGTTTATTGCAGCGATGGGCTGGTCAGGGCCTAACAGATCTCTGAGCGCGTCAGCACGGCCCCAGCCAGACCCACAGCTGGCGCGGGCACGCGGCTCTGCGTAAGACCTCACGCCACAGACTCTCACCTGAAGTGGTGCCGTGACCCAGGCGGGGACAAAGACACTGTTGGCTCTGTTCACCGCAGGCGTTGGTAGAGTACACGTCTCAGCTGGTCAGCTCTGAAACCTCAGGCTTTTCTCCAGGCGTTTTGGTTTTTCGTTTAATTTTTTATTGAAGTGTAGATGGTTTACAATGTTTATTTCAGGTGTACAGCAAAGTGATTCAGTTATACGTACATATATATATATATATATTATTTTTTTTTCTTTTCAGATTTTTTTTCACTATGTTATAAGAAATTGAATATTGTTCCCTGTGCTAGGACCTTGTTGTTTACCTTTTTTTGCTTTTTTTATTTGTTTTTGTTTTGGGAGGAAGTAATTAAGTTTATTTATTTATTTTTAAATCATTATTATATTTTAATGGAGGTCCTGGGGATTGAACCCAGGATCTTGTGCATGCTAAGCAGACGCTCTACCACTGAGCTATACCCTCCCCCCTTATCTATTTTATAGTCTCTAGTCATTTTAGGTTGCTTTTCTTTGGTAAAATCATTGGTCTGCCCATAAGAATTTTTTTTATTATAGTGACATATACACACCATATTTTACCATTTTAACCGGTTTTGAGTGTACGGGTCTGTGGCGTTAAGTACCTTCACACTGTTGTGCATCCGTCACCATTATCCATTTCTGGAGCTTTTTCATCTTCCCAAACTGAAACTCCTTGCCTACTAAACACTAACTCCCCACCCCTCCTCCCTCCAGCCCCTAAGTATGTGTTTAAGAGAGGAAGAAAAAGGCTCGCTCACAGCTGTGGGAGACCCCAGGGTGGGCTTCATAACGGAGCCTGGGGGTCACAAAAATGCCTGCGATCTGGGAACCTAAACCCCAGAGAGAAACAGTCTGTAAAGTTTCCTGTAAGTCATCCTTTCTAGATGCCAGGATTTCGTGCTAAGAAATGAAGGGTGATGAGAGCTGTGTGCCATGCGGTGCAGACCAACTGGATGTAGCATCGTGAACGGGCAACCAGCGTGGTCTGGGGCCGGGAGCAGGAGGTGCCAGGTTCCAGGGCCTGGCACGTGCTCCCTCTGGTGCCCAGTGCCGTGGGCTCTTTCTCAAAGTCTGCTTAGTGTCTCTCTAGTGCCTGGAGTGGTTCAGGCTCTTGGTGAGGACTGTCCCGATAGTTAGGGTGGAGGGGATGATGCTGGTGGCTCCTGTTTGCTGAGGGCTGGCTCTGCCCAGGCCCCACATATGGTCCAGACAGGCGGACTCTGGCCGTGCCTGCAGTCTCTCATCCCCTACCTGTCCTGTCTTCCAGATCCTCCCCAGCCTGCGGGCCAGCGGTGCGATGCTGGATGTGGTGGACAGCTGCTCCATCCTCTACCGGCTGCAGATGGAAGGTAGCCTGATCTGGCCTTCCCCTGTGGCTCCTCTCCTATCCTCACGCATGAGGGGATGGTGTGCCGCAGCCCGGGCCCAAGCCCAGGAACTGGTTAGTGAGCTTCTCCAGGGCCAGCTCTCAGCCCTGGAACGGCAGGCCTGGTGCAGCCCCAGGTACCAGCTCTGTAGCTGCCTTCCAGCTGGCTTGAGGCCAGTGGGCCCAGGCCACCACTGCCCTTTCTCCTGGTTCTCACCTGTGCAGGCCTGGAGCTCAGAACCTGGGTGGCACCTGCTGTTCCCACAGCCTACCCACCAGGCCTGCAGGCCACAGGGGAGAGGCAGAGCTTAGAACAAGGCAGGTGAATTTCTCAACCTCCTGGGATTTCAGAGGGAGAGGTTTCTCAACAGTGTCACCTCATCTCTGCAGGTAGGATGCTCTGGGTGGGGTTGGCCACAGTCCTCGGGGCTACAGAAGGCTTCCAGCCCACTACTGAGGGTGCCAGATGGCTCTCCCCTCTCCCCTAGGTTCAGCAGAGCCAAACCTGTACCCACTCTAGTCCTGGGTCAGCCGGACAACGTGGGGATGAGGCCTGGGCAGGACCAACTGTTTTCAGAGGGTTCCAGGAAGGCTTCCTAGAGGAGGTGAACCGTGAACCACAGAAGGGAATGTAGGGTTTGGCCAGGCGGCGACAGGGAAGGATGTTACAGTCTGAGAGCAGCCTCTCCGAAGCCCCCAAGACACAGAAGCCGGTTCCCTATTATGAGGATTAGTGACTGGAGGGCTGGGGGGTCAGACGGGGCAGAGGAGACTGAGAGGCAGGAAGGGAGGGCGAGGAGTTCGATGTTTATCTGAGTCTGTGGGGAGCCTGGGAGGCAGGGCTAAGCAGGCCCTGTCCGACCTGGCTCTGAGAAAGACTGAGCAGTAGGGGCCGAGTCGGGGAGGCCAGGCTGGAGGCCAGGGCATCCTTGAGGGGGTGGGAGAACAGCGAGGAGCTCTAGTCCTCCAGGTAATGAAGCAGGGAGCTGGGCTGGCGGAGGCCTGTGTCCCTGTCCAGCCAGCACTATCCAGGACTGGGTGGAGAGGGAGAGGCCCAGGGGAAGTCGAGTCCTGTTGACCCTAAGATCCCTGACCTGTGGAGGTGGAGCTGAGGCCTCCAGCCTGGGCCCCCTGAGTGCGTGTGAGGAGAGGCTCCAGGAGGCACGGGGCACTGGTCTGGAGGCTGGGAGATGCAGTGGAGATGCCGCGGGGCAGGGGGAGGGAAGAGAAAGGCCACTCGCCCCCTCACAGTACAACAGCGTCATCCAATTTGATGGAGGTGCTGAGAAATGGAGGTCAAGGGCAACAGCAAGGTCAAGGGAGGAACCCGAGTGGAGCAGGGGGAAGACCCGGTAACTTCTAGAAATGGAGCGGGACAGGAGGGGGTGGTGGTGATGGAGCAGAGCCCAAGTAGGGACCGGCTAGAGCTGGAAATCCAGGCCCAAAGGTGGGAGGACGCTATCACTGATGCCGCAGATTAGTTCTTTCTTTTCTTTTCTTTCTTCCTTTCTTTCCTCCCCCATCCCTTCCTTCCTTCCTTCCTTTTCTTATTTTACGGGGAGAAGGGGATTTGATTTATTTATTTATTTACTTATCTTTCATGGAGGTACTGAGAATTGAACCCAGGATCTCGTGCATGCTAAGCATGCGCTTTTACCACTGCAGTATACCTTCCTCCTCATTTAAAAAAACATTTTTTTAATAGAGTTACTGCAGATTGAACTCAGGACCTTGTGCATGCTAAGCATGGCTCTATACCCACCCCAGTAACTCTGCAGATTCTTACTGGGCACCTGCTCTGCCCAGGCGCCGTCTCAGCGGTAACCACAGTAAGCATTTTAAAGTGGTTTTGGGGTTTGTCAGAGGAGCCAGAGACTTAACACCCTTCCATAGTTGTTTTTTTTTTTAATTTGCTTTCTATCTTATACATCTGTTGCTCTTATGATTAAACAAAGTTAATGTAGACCGGGCCCAAAGACCTCAGCCTGAGGCCAGGCGCTGCTTGCCAGCTTCACGCAGCCTCCTCACCTGGAACCACCTGGGTGCCAGAGGCCCGTGCGCACAGCGCTCACGCCATGCCTGCGGGTGTCCTCTGTGTCCCAGGGGTGCCTGTGGGTGAACGGTGGCAGGACGTCTTGTCCGTGACCCAGAAGCACAGCCGAGACCACATCCTGCTCTTCAATGATGCACACTTCCTGATGGCGTCCCTGGGCGCTCGGGACCCTCAGACCACACAGGAGCTGCTGACCACCCTGCAGGATGCCAGCGAGTATGTGGGGGGCCAGGCCGCCAGGGTGGGGCCCCGCTCTGCTGAGAGGGCCCTGGGGGCTCACCCCTGCCTGGGAGGTGGGGGTGGAGCCTGCTGCATGGAAGCCCATGGAGGGCTGCTTGCAAGTGTGCGCTTCCGGGTGCGTGCCCCCAACCAGGTGTGCATCCCAGCAAGATGTGCCCTGCAAGGGCACGGTTGGTTCCCCAAGGACACAGAGCCGCCTCTCCATGCCCTCGGCCTCAATGTCAGTGTCATGCACAAGGGACACAGTGAGGGCCTGGAGCCAGAGACCTGCCGCTTACAGGGTCTGGGACCCTGGACAAGGGGCTCCTCTGCCCTGAACCTATTCCCTCATCCGCTGAGGCAGGCTGGTGGGAGGGTGAGTGCAGTGACGTGGTCACGCATCTCCCTGGCGCAGTTCCTGGCACTGGTGGGAGCCAGAGCACGTTCAGGGGGGTGGGCTCTGCACAGCACAGGGCCGCCAGGGATGCAGCCAGCCCCCATCTCCTGCCTGTAGGGCTAGAGCTGTGGGGCCTGTGAACCCTCGTGTTTGTCCCAGGCTCCTGGGGGAGGGTGACCACCACCATGGCCGCTTGCCCTGCCTCTCGTCGCAGGGCCGAGCTCCCGGAACTGGGGCTTTGGCTGGGAACAGAGCTTCAGGCCCCCAGCCCTCATGACCCAGATCAGCCACCACCTGAGGGCCACGGGAAGACAAAGCTTGCCACAGCTGTCCACAGGGGTTGGCGCCTACTCTAGTGCCAGGCCTTCACCTGCAGTGCCCTGCAAGGTCAACACTGTTACTCCCACTTTACATATGAGCAGACTGAGGCCAGAAACTGGGATACCTGCCCAAATTGTCCTGAGTTTCTAGCTCTGTCTTCTCCCCTCCTTGGCTGCTTGACCTCTGCCAACTCACCTGCTCAAAGCACCCACTGTGTCAGGCATAGCGCCAGGGACACCAGGGCCTGAGTCAGGCAGGGAGACAGATGTGCTGTGACCAGGGTGGCACACAGTGTCCTGCTGGCCACTGAGGGTGCCTTCTTGGGCTGGCAGGTCCCCAGGGGAGAACTGCCAGCACCTCCTGGCCCACGATGTGGGGCTGCCTCTGTGCCAGGCCCTGGTGGAGGCCCAGAACGGGAACCCCGACCGTGTCGTGGAACTGCTCCTGCCCATCCGCTACCGGCTTGTCCAGATCGGAGGCAGCAACGCCCAGGTGAGCCCCTGGCCTCCAGCCACCCCAGCAGCTGCAGCGAGGGCCCGGGTCCAGGAGCCCATGCGCCCCACAGCCCCCGTCCCCTGGTGTGGGGGGCCCTTGTTGTTCATACCCCCCGGTAAGTTCGTCCCTGAGACCAGGCTGGTCTGCTGTGGGGAGGGGGGCAGGTATTCCCACCCCTCATCCCACATCTCAGAGCCTCACTTGCCCACTGATCTTTCAGAGAGACGTCTTCAACCAGCTACTGATTCACGCGGCCTTAAACTGCTCGTCCGGCGTCCACAAGAACGTGGCCCGGTGAGTTCCTCGTTCTGGTCCCAAAGCCCGGCTGGGAAGGACTCTGGGCACACCCGACCTCTCACTCGGAGGGCTCCCTACCAGCTTCCAGGGGCCCAGAGGCTCCCACCTCCCTTGGCCGGAGGTGGTGCGCCCCTTGGAGGCTGTGGAGATGTAAGGCTATGGGGTACCTGGTTCTCCCCTCTTCATATTTTCAATTTGACCAAAGGGGACCAGCTACCCCCACTCCTAGGCCACCACTCCTGCCTGCCCCAGCTCACTCCTCAATCTAGCCATGCTGAGCTCGTTACTGTTTTAGGCCCCTGGGCCTTTGCACATGCTGCACCCTCTGCCTGGTAAACCCTTTCTCCTTCTTCATCTGCTGATGCCCACCGATCCTTCAGGCTGCAGTGCACATCTTCCTTCCACATACTGTGCTGGGTGCCGGGGGGTGTGGTGGGCAGCAGGCAGACCCAGGCCCAGGCTGCGTGGGGCTTACCTCTCATGTGGGAACTGACACTAAGCAATTCATCCCACAGATGTATGTAAAACCGCCACGAGCACAGGCATATTGTTCCAAGATGCTCTGATGAAGGCACTGAGTGGGTGGGAACTAGAGAAGGAGGGTGCCCTGCAGAGGTGACAGTTGAGGGGGGCCTGAAACCAGGCAGGTTTACCCAGGCCAGGGTGGTCTGGTTAGGAGGAGGGGTGTGGCTAGAGGACTAGGGGTGTCAGGGTGGTGGCTGGGCAGGGAAGGTGAGGCTGTTTGGACAGAGGAGGGTGAGGGTTGGGCAGGGGAGCTGGGGCCAGCATGGGGGTAGGGGTTGGAGTGGGGGTGATGTGGTCCATGCTGGGGGGGCGCTGTCCTTCAGGCCTGCATACGGTGGGCTCTGGAATTCCACACTTTCTCATCCTCACACCTCCCCCGACCTTCCCTCTGGTGTCCCCGCCAAGGCCAGGCCTCCTGCCTCTGCCTTTATCCATCCCGTCCCCTCTTCCCCTCTGCCACGATGCGGTCCCTTCTCTCCAGCAACTTGGGAGCGTCTTGCTCTCTGCCCACCTCAGCCTCAGCTATGCTGCGTATGTCCTGCCTGGGGTGCAGGGACCATCTGGCTTGCACACCCTTCTAGGAGGTTCCACCACAGACCCCATCTGTTTCCCCAGGAGCCTTCTGATGGAGCGAGATGCACTGAAGCCCAACTCACCCTTGACTGAGAGGCTTATCCGAAAGGCAGCCGCCGTCCACCTCCTGCAGTGAGCCAGGCCTGGCGCCTGCCCGGTGGAGCCCCTCAGCGGCCTCCCCCGCCATCAGACCAGCTGCCCCTCTGGCTTCACAGGGTTACAAGTAGCTAGAGCAGCATTACAGGAAGAGGGACTCAAATCAATTTTCAAAGTGATTCAGAATCTTCTTCAAATCCTTGTTAAGGGTCAAGGTGCAGTTGTAAGCAATCAGAACCGATGTGGGTGGTCTTGCCTTGGAACTTGTATTTTTCCATCTTCAAGCTTCCCTGGGGGGATTAGTGGCGTGGATTTGAGCTTGTTTTCCCTTTATTCTAAACTGCACATTGTAAAGGGGCCTTGGGCACACGATTTCCCTTGTCAACCATGATTTTAATCATACGAATGCACGCTCATGGAGTTGGTGTGCTTTCTGGGGTATAAGGCTGCAGCTCAGGGGTTGCCCTGTTGTGGCAAAAACCAAAGCATTTAACAAGATCTGAGCTTTTTAAACAAGAGTTTTTTAAACACTGCCTCGGTCTCCTCCTTCCCCATGGGTAACCTGGCCCCGGTGCCCTTCCACCCCCTGAGCAAGCGGCAGGTTTCAGTAGAATGTGCCAACTCAGTCGTGCTGTGAGGGGTGATTCCAGCTCACATATGTTTCTCAGGTTCCTTCAGTGCAAACTGAAATTTGGTGGGGACTCACAGGGGCAGGGAGGGGGCAGGTCTCCTGGGAGGCAGTGGATGCCTCCAAATCGATTCAACAAATTCCTGGGATTAAAATAAATTGTTAATTGCTTCCTTTGACTGACTGTTGCTGGGTAGATACCTCTGAGCTTCTTCCATGGGCCAGGCCTGGGCTGGGTGCTAGGGAGACAGGCTTCTCCTTGAACTTGGGGGTGGGGTGGGGCCGCGGGTCAAGAACAGAGTAATTACAACGGGATTTCAAAAGAGGTGCTGTCTGTCCCCAGGAGCTAAGGACACATCCCAGGGGGCATCCTGCCCTCCCATCCTGAGCTGTCCCCTCCTGACAGAGCCTGCTCACACCCTGCCTGCCTTCCCCTCTCCTGGTTCCAAGGAAGACACACCTTGGCCAAAAGCAGGAAGTCTGGTCCCCTCCTCCATGAAGGCCTCTGCTCCCCGACAGCAGGCTGGTGCCCCACAGCCCTTGGCACCTGCCTTTGCTACTGCACCTTTGTCCCCAGCTGTGACTGCCTCAGGTCAGGGACAGATCTGTGTCACCCAGCACCACCCAGAACAGAGCCTGTGCTACCTGTCAGTGAACCCATAAATGAGTGTATAAATAAATAAAGCAGAACCCTACAAGGGCAAGGAAGAAATGAATCTCTAATGGGTAGGCCACTGCTAGAAGAGAGGAGAGGCCAAGAAAAGAGATGGAGGAAGATACAGTTTATAGAGTTAAGAGCAACAAGTTATTAATTGGTGTGTTTACTGAGCACATACTATGTACTGACATGATACAGGGGGAAGAGCACCCAGAGTGGGTGTTTGGGGACCCTTGCCCCTAGCAGATACCCTGCCCTCACCTGGAGGGTATGGGGATCGGACACCTGGACCAACAGCCCTCCAGTCTAGAGCCCTCTGGGCCCCTGCTGCAGCTGCCCTGTGGTTATGAGTCAGGCAAGTCTGGGCCCTGGAACCATGGATGGAGCACAGGCAACACCAAGCCGACTGCCATCTTCAGGAGGTCCTTGCCGGCAGAGGGATGCTTGGAGCTCTCAGGCCGGTGGGCCCAACAAAGGCCGCCTGCCTGAAGCTGAGCAAGACCCCAGAGAGGCCACCGAGGGACAGTCCGACCCGGCACCCTCCTTCAAGCCCCTCTCTCTATCCAGTCCTGAAGCCAGGGCCACTTCTGGATGTCCCTGTTCCTCGAGCCAATAAATTCCTTTTTCTAAAGCCAACTTGAAGCTGGTTTTCTGTTACTTGCAACCCAAAGGTTCTTGACTGATACCTGCAGCTGAGATTTGCAGCTAGGTCTGTCTGACCCCATTTCCTCCAGTTAAGCAGAAACCAGATCAAAAGATGATGGAACTTGGAAGGGAGCCTGTGGACAGAGGCTCAGGTGGAAAAGGGAGGATGGGGGAAGAGAGGGACCCAGCACATCAGAAAGCAGTGGGCGTAGTTGGGGGCAAAGAGCCAGGCGGAAGGCTGCAGAGGGAGCCCCAAATAGAAACAAGACACCAGGGATGCCAGGACAAGCCAAAAGGGAGATGCAGAGGGCACCCGTGGCTAGACAGACTCTCCTGGTCCAGGGGCACACATCGCAGTGACTGGTCACCCAGGGTCACCCGGGCGCTCCTCGGGACAGGGCCCGGCTCTTCTTACTCTGCTGAGAACTGACCAGTAAGTAATGCTTTACAAAGCAGGTAGGTGCACCTACTTTGTTTAGTCTTCGGGTCAATGCCCTAGGAATTTGATTTTCTCCATTTAAGGATTAAGGGCCGGGATCAGAACCAAGTCCCTTGCCGTATGTAGCTGTCCTGATGCCGAGCGGGCGGGGACATACCATATGAGCTTTAAGAACTCCAGCCCTACACCGCGCGTCCCACCCCAGGGCCTGGACAGACATCCGGCAGGCGCAGGGCGCGGAGGGAGTGCGCAAGCGCGCCGCGCGCCTCCTCCCGGCGCTCGGACTACAGCCCCCAGGATGCACCGGGCG